AAAAAAAGAGCCAAAGTGTAATAGCGATAAATACGCTAAAGTGTGTTTCACGGGTTTATGAAAACCACTCTAAAAAAAAAGAGCCAAAGTGTAATAGCGATAAATACGCTAAAGTGTGTTTCACGGGTTTATGAAAACCACTCTAAAAAAAAGAGCCAAAGTGTAATAGCGATAAATACGCTAAAGTGTGTTTCACGGGTTAATGAAAACCAATCTAGTACAATTCCTATTTCACAGACGGATGAAAATGACTATMCTATTGTAATGCAAACACTCTAGTTACAAAGAAGACAATAAAAATTTATGCTTGTATGAATCTAAGCTTTCACAAAAGAGAATTCCAAACTGGAGTATTAAGGGACTCGTCCCAGTCTTTACCGGTATGAAATAAGACAATGGTGTTGATGATGATGTCATGAAGTAAAGAAACAATATACTGAATGACTAGAACAATGATGACAAATTACTGACATACCTTGGAATCATGGGAGGAKTAACATCTAAAGTTGATAGTCTCTTAGCCTTGTCAACAAAACAGTACAAATAATGTCAGTGAAATATTCAAACATCAGCAAATTCATAATTAATTTTTCTGAATTTCTTTCCAAGGGTGGTCCTCCTTCTAACTTTGTGAAGGAWCTGTCCTATGACTTCCATATATGGTCGTACATGTACACGTCGCTGATGTCCATAAAAGGCTCTCATGTCCCTATTCTTAGATTTGAAGTTTACGTCACAGCGGCCATCTTGGAGGAACTTTAACAAAGGATTTCTCATTAGTATCTATTGTTAATYCCTCCAACATGGACGCCGGTCTGTTATYTTTTGAATCTCATGGGAATGATTGAAAGCGATCATTTATGTAAAGGAGGAAATAAAAAAAAATTCAAAGACTTAAACTGAAACTGAAAAACGCGCATTAAGATTCGAAGCAGCGCTATGCATTGCGTAACCCGATATTTTCCCTAAACCTAATTATTAAGCCATGAGATCAATTCGCTTGAGTGAACCTGAATAGTCTCCTTCACGTTTAGGTAATAGGTTTATATGTCACCTCTGTGGACCCTGTTCGAATCTCGGTCTGGACGCCATATGTGATTTCGTTCTCTCCCTTGCTTCGAGGGTTTTTCCGCTTTTTCCTCCCTCAGTAAAAACAAACCATTTCTATTTGCTGTGCTCCGCGTTCAGTCAACGTTGCTATGTAAAGGAAGCGCCTAGCCGGCTATGTGTAAGTGTATGTAAAATGTGTCTGTAAAATAGCACTTCGACTTGAGAGCGCGTCGAGCTGCGTCTTTCGCTGCAATACAGCATCCCGTGCTGCCATGAACAGCCAACACCTTTTCCTTTTACATCGGAGCCATGTATATGGCCATCCATATATGGAAGTCGTACGACAGAATTTCCTTTATTTTCATTTTATTAATTCATAGTACCRCGTGACACTAGAGTGGATATTGCAAATTGAAGTTTGAACTGGCTTAAATCGCTTAAAATTACAGCTAATAAAAATTATGTACGCAGCTTTCCCTAAGGGATCGTTATCGCGGTAGTTACCTTGAGATCTATAACTTGTACCAATGACAAAGCAGTACAGAATTCAGTCAGTCCCCCTGCAAGGACGATATCATTCTCTTTCCATAAACAACTAGTATGCGAATGTCGAGGGATGGCCTTCTCTCCAATCAAATCAACCTAAAGAAGTTAACGAGAATAAGGGGGCAATCGTCAAACCTACATCTAATATATATAGCTATTTCAAAAAAGGTGTCGGATTAAAGTAGTCATGGCTTTTGCTAGTTRAAAGGCAATAACAACTGATTTGTACTGTAAGATAGTCTGTTGAAAACATTAGCTCCATTTAGTCTCCATTTCTATGCAAGGTGAATCAAATAAGTAAAATTTTGTTTATCAAAACAGTCTAACCAAAGTCCATTTCGGTCGTGCAATCTCCCTTCGACAATTGCCGTTCGCCGTTTCGCATCTCGACAATAGAAAAAGTAGTATGGTCAATGTTGCATCGCATAAAAAAGTGAAAAGTTGTCATGATTAAAAWAGCCTTTCTATTCGTCACTTTTTGCTATTTCTGCAACGTTTTTATAAACATCTGGTCTGTTACAATAGGAAATGCAATAATGAAAAAACCGACTGGTCTACCTCCCTAAAACCCTGAGGTAWAGACCACGAGGCAGTATTACACARGAAGCCCAGACAATATAAGGGAGTAAAAATTCATTTACCCTGAAGACCGACTTGATAGACAGAATCGTACCGTGTAAAAAACTTTACCACTAGACAAGTGCGGCTAATGGCAGTCTTCATGAGGAGTGGGAGACTGGGGAGAAAAAGAATTTAAATTTTTTCACCCTTTGTTTTTCTCCCAGAGAACCAAATACTCAGGTCGACCTCCTCCTCCCTCTCCCTAAATGGAAACTAAAAGTTAAGATTATCAAATAGATACCTTATTCCATGTTGTTTTTAATGTGTCGAAGATGTAACAKTCTTCTAAAGCGAGCTGACTTGTTGTTCTACCGCCAAACACCAAAACCTTTTCTCCATCTAAACACAGACATAATCATAACATGAACACAAAGTTTGAACACAAGGGTTGCAGAAATCTGTTAAATCATTAAATAATGACTAAAATACTCAATTTAACTCATCCATTCACTCACTAAATGATGCACTCAAACGATCAGTCAGTCAATTAATCGTCGCATTTATCAAACAGTTTCCATATCATTGYGAATCCCTTCCTTACCATCGTCAAACCGTGTCGCGGTGTGCCTCCATCTGGCACATGGTGGCACTCCAGTCGTGGTAACCTCACAATATCCAGTGCATCCACTAGAGGTTTCTGTGGATATCATAGTTACTGTAGACGACGGTTTATAAGGCGACGTTCTTCCACCAAACACCATTAATGACTTGTCTTTCAGTAACGTTGCAGTGTGAAACATGAGTGAACCTGAAACACAACAAGACCTGAATTATGACTCGCGTTGAATTAATGAAGGGCATATGACTTGTTTACAACTTAACTTAGGTAGTTTTAGTGAGTTGTAGGCTTGATTTACACGACGCAATTCATGTTGTATGACACCTACAACTTGTTTACAACTTAACTTAGGTAGTTTTAGTGAGTTGTAGGCTTGATTTACACGACGCAATTCATGTTGTATGACACCTACAACTTGTTTACAACTTAACTTAGGTAGTTTTAGNGATATAAATGACGCAACTTGCGCACAACTTGTGTAGCGACTAGTAACATATAGTTTGCCAAATCATGCATTCACCTTGAAGCTAAGTTTGATTAATTACTTTGTCTTGACAACATAAAACTCACCCAAATTCACAGCAGTAGGAGAGTTTAATGGTAAACATTGCCATTTTTCTAAAAACAAAAAAAGATGGTGTTTTACAATTTCTTGTTTTAAAATTCGCTGGTGTTTCTCATATTCACCTTGTACATGACGTAAGATATCAACACCTTGCAGYCTCATATGTTTGCCTTGATGCTCACCAAACCCACCGATGATCATGATTTCACCGCTGGGCAGTAAAGTGGAAGTATGTCCATACCTGGGCTCATACAAAACAAGATGGCTGAGATGACATTGAAATGAGATGGGTTGACATGGGAAGAAAGCAKGAGATGAATTTCATTTGTTTGAGATAAATAAATGAAATAATTATATCAATCGACAAATAATTATCTAAATAAACATATCCACATTGTCTGTAGTTCTAATCAAATGGACTCTCAGACTCACTAACTAATCCTCCCGCATTCAACATTTATTTCTCGTTAATTTTGAGAGGAAATACCGGACAACCCTGAGAAAATTAAAATCGCTCACATTTTCAACCCAATTCATGTGATCCAACAAGAACTCGAGCCTGGACCACAACAGTAAAAGTCTGGACCCATCACTCAAAATTGATCGAGAACTATGTTTGGGATGAGAGGGAATGGGATGGAATAAAATAAAAAGGATGAAAGTACCTGGACAGCCCATCCTTTGATTCCAGTTCCAGTAATTGTAGATCAATTGATTTCTGCTGGTTAACAATATCACTATCTGAATAAAAAGAGAGCTGCCTATCAAATCAACTGATGACCTGAACATGGGATTACAACATTACACATAACTTTGACTTAGACAGAAGTACTGTTTTCCTAAACATCCATGTATTTTGGTGATATTTAGCGYCTTTCATTTTATTTTGCCACCATATTTTATATATGTTATTTACCTGCTGGGAGGTCCGTATAGGAAAACACTGCCCGAGGTCTTGACAGTACGGAATGAGCACAAACATTTTTATTTTTTTTATTTGTATTTTATGCGACTTTGCTTGCAGCCTAGCTTCAGGATACCGTCGGACCGGGCAGATCGTGAAAAAACAGACCGCGCGCTAGCCAATCACAGCGCGCGAATGACTAGGATACCGGACCACGCGCTAGCCAATCACAGCGCGCGAATGACTAGGATACC